TTGACTGTTATCAATAATGCTATCATGAATATTTGTGTACAAGTTTTTGTGTGGACATATGTTCTCACTTCCCTTGTGTATATACCTAGAAGTGGAATTGCTGGATCATATGGTAACTCTCTATATAAAATTCTGAGGAACTGTCACACTTTTCGAAAGTGGCTGGTCCACCAAACAGTCCTACCAGTAATGTATGAGGGTTCCAGTTGATCCACATTTTTACCAAAGCTTGTTCTTGTCCGTTTCTTGATTTTAGTCACCTTATTGTGTGTGGAGTTGTCTCATTGTGATTTTGATTTGTGTTCCCTAATCACAATTTTGTTGAACACCTCTTCTTGAGCTTGTTAGCCATTCACTTGTTTTCTTTGGAGAAGTGCCTATTTAAATCCTTTGCTCATTTTTAAGTTGGGTTATCTGTCCTTTTAATTGCTGAATTATAAGAGTTCTTTATATATTCTGGATGTGTCTCTTATCAGATAGATGGTTTGCAAACATTTTTTCTCATTCTCTCTTTTAATTTTTGTGCCACATTTGTTAGGACTTCGATGGCATTTTTGGAGTGACTTTTCTCTAGGTAAACTTCACATAGCCCAGGGAAATAATGGCAAACACTTTCACTGAGAAGCTGCCTGATTGCAGACACCAGGTTAAGTCCTTTGCACCATTACCACATTTAATTTTTGCAGTAACATTAAGAGGTTGGTATCATCCCTTTATGTAAGGGGAAGGGAACTGAAACTCAGAATTAATTTGCTCAAAGTGCTGGAACTAGAAAGTGGTGGAATTTGCAAATGAATCCATTTCTTCCTGCTTTCTAAGCCTATTTTTTTGCTCTTTCAGTATTCTTTGAGTAAGATAAGTGAACAATCAATCAATATTGTCTTCATCTACAGTATGATTTGTGTCTTATAAATATGCATTTTATTTCTCTGTTTTCTACCAAAACTCATAAATAATAAAGTATCATATGTCTTAGGTCATTTCCATTTGATATACTTCCTTC